ATGCCTCTCAAATACACATCGAGCGGCTGAGACATTTTTCGGTTGCTTGGCGTTAGATGTTTACTTAAATGAAGCTACGAGAACATGTTCTTTTTTACTATCGCTTGCTCTTGTTCGCGCTAAAGGCGACACACACGGTGTGACACAAAAACATAGTGTGATCCATGTACTCCATAACTATAGCTATTGACATCTATCACTTTTCCATCACGAGTTACTAAGTGCGAGACTTCTTCAGCCAATCGGATTTTGGGGGAGTTTCTAAAGCGGGGCCAGGCGGAATTAGGCGGAACCAGGCGGAACCAGGCGGAACTAGGCGGAACCAGGCGGAGTCAAGTACCATACTTTTGCAAATACGTCCTATAGTAAAATCACCCATACACTACCGCTATTTATTTTCAGTTTGGGAACTATGTAGCCTACACTATTTTCTGACACTGTCGATAAAATCGTATCGCCGAAAGTAGATGTGATTCTTGTAACTTACTTGTAAGTTACTTGTAACATTATTATTTATTCTTGTAAGTTACTTGTAATCTTATTTTCATTGATAATAAATATTTTTATGTACACTGCAGCATTAATTCGCTGGGTTATAGTAGCGGCCCGACTTATCGATATTTATTTTTTTACTCAAATACTACTCAACTTTACAGAAACACTACAAGAGACAAAAATAATTTATTTTCTTCTCATAGACTCTAAAAATTTTTTCAGAATTTTTTATCAACTTTTTAGTACTGCATTTTTTTATTTTCGATAAGTTAGGTCACTACTATGACCTAGCATATTAATGTACTACACTGTACTTGCTTAAAGGTGAAGTATTAATAAATGTACTGACAATATTACTAATCGTGTGTGGTTAATATTGATAGATTGATGTAGGATACTGATCTAGATTTTGATTCTCAAGCATTCAGTATTATTAAGATCCATGTCACAGTATGTCACAGTGCAATAGATATTGTACGTAAAATTAAAGTGAAATATATTGTCCATAATACTGATCGTGTAGGTTGTAAAAATACTAAAAAGATTGATGCATGCTATTAATATTACTGATTCAGTATTATTGACCGTGTAAGATTAAAACTTTATATGCAAAATATGCAACAAAACTATTTTCTTATTGTTTGTAAAACTAAATGATATACTGTGAAATATTTTCGCGTGCATATGTACACAAAGCATACTATAATTAATTTTATTTTTTGTTTCTAAGGCCCAGTTGTACAACTCACGATTAATTCTTAACAGAGGTAACAACTTATTCATTATCTTTTTCCAATTTTAAAACTGGAAAGAGATGAGAAACAAGTTGAACCTCGGTTAAGTGTTAACAGTGAGTTGTGAAACTGGGCCTAAATATATAAAACATACATACATTGAGACACTTATAATACTAAGTTCAGATAGATTACTTTTGTCACTCATAATACTAGATGCACGAATATCACCTTCCACACTATTGACATTTCCATGACACATACTTGTGATTTCTTTAAGAAAGTGCTAGATATGACGTAGGATGTTCTAGAACTAATAAAAAGATTAGATAAATAACGTGATGATGATAATAAGTACGAATATTTGGTAATACATAAAATGTATAATATTTGCTAACATGAAAAAAAATAACATCATGAAAAAGACTTTGATTTGATTCACTGCCACAGGTAAAGTATTCAAAGCTTTCCTATATATTATATTGTGTATTTAACTCTTTCATTATTTATATTGGGTCATAAAAAGTATCCGCGGTTTTTTGTCACTAGATGGTGTTGATGGTCAACACCATCTAGTGACAAAAAACCGCGGATTCTTTTTAGATGATCCAATATATCTTAATATTATTAAATAAATATTAACATAAAAAAACATTTAGCAAAAATAATTATTTCTACAATTATAAGTGAGATATAGAGAAAATTATCTTAAATTTTCCTGCTAAATCTCGATATAAAAGAGGTTATGTCTACGCTCAGTACCAATGGCTAGCTAGCTTTGCATTTATAGTGTTGCCAGATGCTTTCGTCGATTTTCCCCTAGAATAAAAGTGTTACCAGGAGATAGAGTCCTTAAAAGTAGAGATTAGCTAAAGTTGGCCATGTTATGAAACCGGAAATCACGTGATCTTGGAAATGCGCGCCAACATATTAACGTCAATTTCGATGAGATTTCATTATGAAAATTTGAATAGCTCTATTTTTTTATTATTTTTTAATAAAATTTTAATGGTAAGTAGAGAAAAGTATGAGCTTTGCAAAGAACAAACCCGACTTCTCTATCTTTATCTGTTTTTCAAAATTTCACAAAATTAAGCTTTGTTTTGATATATATCTCCCTTAATTACTCTTATTCTAATACAATTATGGCTAATCAATTAACAATTAACAATTAAATAATTGTAATCAGTTCACAATTATTTTTCGTAATAATAATTCATCATTTAATTGTTTTCAGCAATTAACAATTACAAAATGTAATTACTAATTGAATTAAGAATAACATTGTAATTGTAATTTATTGTTAATTAAATTACAATTTTGCACAACTCTGATTATAATTTGATCACTGATCATTAATATTTATGATGTTTTAAAAGTCAAATTTTAGTTTTGTAGTTTTTTGCAATTTCAGTCTTTCCCTCTTCAATAAATTACATTTATTTGATATATTTGAAGAACTTCTATCTACATAATGGTATCAAGAAATTTAGCATACCAAAATAATCAGTTCCCCTACAGCATAAAGTTGTACAGCAAAAGTTACAGCAACATTGCTGCAAATTCTGTGCTCTTTGGGTTATGTTACATAAATATCTATAATGTTATTTCAATAAAAACAAAATAATATTCCATAATCGGATACTTTCCTATATAATCTATTATATACTTATACATATTAACTTAAACAAATACATTATTTTATATAATATAAATGTACGTCTCATAAATTTAATAGTTAAAACCTATCGGAATTTATCTGCACAATTAACAAGAATTACAAGACAAGTCACAGAAATTAAAATAAGACAAGATTATTACTTCGCACTATATAGAGTATACTACATATGTCGCTCTTCAAATAAAAAAAAATGTACGAATTCATAGAGAAGAAAAAGTTCAAATCACTTTCTTTTAAAATGCTGGAATCTTTCAAGATTTTTAATACTGAGTTAAAAATTGATAGAACTTTTCGCGAAGATCTTGTATGTAAATAATATAATATATATGATGTATCTGAAATAATGCCCACTAATCATACAGTGCTATTTTTAATAAAAAACTAAGTCGTTAACGAGATATTAATTTCTAAAGATTGCCGAATAAACGGATAAAATCTATATATAAGATAATTTTAAGATATTTTTCAGTGTTTTTGTGAAATATTTTGAATGTATTTCTTATATCTTAAAGTTGTCTTATACGTCACGCGATTTTAGACATTTTGCTCATTAACTAAAAAAAATATTGCAAAAATTATAAAATGTAGAGGATTTTTCGACTTAGATTTTTATTAGGAATAGCACTATATGATTAGTGGACATTATCTTAGATACACCTTGTATACCAGATGTATATGTATGTATATAAGTATAACTAATAAAATAAAGTGCCAAAAAAATATTAAAAAATTTAAAAATAAATTTGTCTTTAATGAAATGGAAAAATAATGTTAATTTTTTAAACTTAAATGATTTTTATGGTTAACTTTACAAAATTAATTTATCTTTAATTAATTTTTTATTTTTATAAATTTTACTATACAATATAATGTGATGAATAAAAAATTATTATATATGTAATACTAAAGTATAAAATATATAGAATGAGATAAATAAAAAAGAATAATATAAGTAAAAAATAATAACTACGCATGTATAAGATTAAACAATTAAACAATGATGAATGAGGTATTATTAATTGTAATATTAGCTAAATAATGTGATAATGTGCAAGTGGTAGATTTATTTTTTATCGTTTTAGATAAACATATTATGTGAAATTCAGTAGATTTCCTAAACCAGTGAAAAAAGTCGTAACAGCTATTTTGAAAAAAATATATGTTTTGTGACGTTCAATGCCTAGTTCAAACTGGACGCGTCAAACAGCGGAGTAGCGACCAATCAGCGAGGTGATATTTACAGTGGCGTAAAAAATACCGCTGGTTGGTTGCTGTTTTGCTGCTTGATGCTTGCTGCTTCCAACATAAGTTGAAAAGAACTAAGCATAAATTATACAACCTAAAGCCCAAAGATTGAAAAAAAAAACAATTAAAGATATGACTTTTAGCGAATGCATGAAAAGTATTGTAGATTTATATTTGCATACAACTTTCGCACGCGTATGTATATGTGTTTGCAAAAAATGATTTATTTTATTAAAAAATGGTTATGTAAAGAACTGCTTGAACATTCTGTTTTTGAATATTTCTACCAGAAGTGTAGTGTGAAACATCTTTTACAAAAAATAAGTCTCAGTTTATAAAATTATTATTATTATAGTCACCTACGATCTTAATTCTTGTACGTACTTTATATTAATATTACAAGTCTTTCTTTTTTCAATAATTCTATTATATTTTAAATGCCATTGTTAATAAATATAAAATTTATATCGAATCTTCTGAAGTGAAACATAAGAAATTTTTTCAGGCGCTAGAGAGCGTTTTAAATAATACGAAAGATTGGGATGAAAAATGACAGGAACGAAAAATCAGAAAAAATTAAAGAAATAAACTTAATTATCAAATGTTAAATCATTTTCAAAATATTAAATGATTAAGTAATTAATGTTAAATAATTTTAATATTAATTTATGTTGAATAATTTTAAATTATTCTTTTTTAAATGTATCTCCTTGTATAATATAAATTGCATTACATTCCTAATGGCTTTTATCAGGATTCCTTATTAGGACCTGACATTAAAGATAATCTGGGGCTTTAATCACATCTTGCCTCGAATCGATCTTCCACCCCCATCTCATCCTCTCCAGGCGTCCGCGAAGAACCCCCGGCCGACGACTCTGTTGTCGACCCAACAACAGTTCAAAACCTTCCGAGACCTATTGCAAACATGGCGTTGGATTTCGCAGCGACGTATAAAGTCTTGGTTTTAGGCGACTCGAACGTTGGCAAGACCTGCATCGTGCATCGCTACTGCGACGAACGGTACTACGACACTTATATCTCGACGATAGGTGAGAAGACATCATTATAAAAATATTCATCGGATTTCCCGTTCTCACCTGCGGCGACCGCCTCCGAAGTCGCATTGTTTCAGCGACTTGTTGTTGGGTGTTCATTGTGACGTATCTTGGTGCCAGTTACGACTAGCTTACGACAACTCATCTTCCTTGGTAACGGTAACAATAAAGTCACGCGTTTTAATTTTGCTCCGGATACGACGGACCGACGCATCAGTCCCATACATCGTTGACACGAGTAGTCGTTAATTAACTCTATTATAGATGAGGTCACGTCTTTGTCTCCAATGCAGACCTGTTATTAGAAAAGAACAATTGCTCCAATTCATTTCATTGTTCTAATTTTATGCATTTAATGTGCAGCGTTTTCATCTTCTCCATTTGTCGCGAAATAGTAAAAAGTAGAATCAATTTTCCCTTTTGACATTTTAATTTGAACTTAATATTATTTACACTTTTAGCGAAAATAAATATATACTATAATTAATTAATTACTTCATTCAGCAAATTTAATTAATTTGTCAATTGGCAAATGTGGTTTATTTATGTATTCCGTAAAAAATATATATTAAGTTAGATCATCGATCAGCTGATTATCTTACGTGCATTGGCCCTGCACTTATCAAATTTTGTAATTTTCTTAATTACGTTGTGTTGTGCTGCAAACTGCAACTCAATAACATGAAGCGTTAAAAAAAATTTGCTAGCCTTACCAATATTTAGGAATAAAAAACTTCAAACTCCTGTAATTTGCGAACTATATGTGCTAATCGAATTTCTGCGAGTTGTGCTGAATTGTGCTACTCAAAATCTACGAAGCATGTGCATAAAAAGTTGAGATTAGCTTAAGACTCGATAAAAGTTTTTGAAATAGGATAGAGGTAAATAAAAAATTTGGCATTTTTAGATTTTTTTTTTTAGTTATGCCAGATTGTGCTACAATATAGTACAACTTTTCTTAATGGCAAAATTTCCTCAAACCAACAGATTTTCGCGGTATCGTCAGTTATGAATCAGTCGTTAAAAATTTTTAGGAATGAAAAACTTTAAACTCGTGTAACTTAAGATAATCGAACTTTGCGAGTTGTGCTAAATTGTGTTACTCAAAATCAATTCAGCACAACTCGCAGAGTTCGATTACACCGTTTGCAAGTTATAATATTAGGTGTTGGAATTAATTCGTAGCGTTTTACAAGTGATGGGAAGTACTTTCATTAATGTATTTTTTAATGCTCATGTGAAATAAATAACATTCTTTCATTTAAAACGCTACGAATTAATTCCAACACCTAATATATGAGTTTGAAGTTTTATAATTAATAAACTTTTTTTGAAAGAGGGGAAACATTTCATGTTATTGATATGCTGTTTGTGCGACGCAAACGCAGTACAACTCATTGTCAGCACAATTTAAAAAATTAGAAAATTCGAAAGTGCGGGATCAACTTCACAAACATTATCTTGCATTCGCTCCAACTTCGATATTGCTATGTATAACTATCTAATTTTAAACTTATTGTCAGACCGAATTATTCTCAGCAATTGTCTCGATATAAATTGTTATAATTATAAAAATGTTCCAAAAATATTCTTCTATTACTACAAAGATATGCTACAAAAATACTTTCGCTTGGATGAAATAATATGATATTTTATAATTAGCGTATTTGTTCTCACAATTAGTTTAAAAAATAATTCAACTCTTGTATATATAAAGTTTTAATCATTCTGTTTGCATGCGAAGGAATTCTGATGTATAAATAGCCATTTAATTAGAGATAACGTCTAATGGCTCCGAGCTACAAATATAATTATATTAAATATATCATGAGTTCTTGATTTTGTTTAAACTTTAATATTTGTTCAATGTGCATATCCCAAAAATATTTATACATGATGACAAATATAAATAGTGAATGTGTCTGCAGGTATTGATTTCAAACAGAAGATCATTAACTTAGATGGAACGCCGATTAAATTACAAATCTGGTGAGTATTAATTAGTTTTGTTCACGAATTCTTAAAGTAATCATCAAATAATGTTCAAATAAAGAAACCAAAAAATTCCCACTCAGAAGAGTTTAGTTTTTATTTTTAATTCTCTCAGATTTAAAGCCATAATCTGCATGTAAAGTGACAAGTCGTATATAAATAAAATAAAGTAGTAGGAAGTATATCTGTAAATGTATCTTTTTTTTAAAGGGATACTGCCGGCCAAGAAAGATTTCGAACTTTAACAACGGCATACTATCGTGGTGCCATGGGTATTCTTTTAATGTACGATGTCACTAGTTTGGAGAGTTTCAACCATTTGTCGTATTGGCTACGAAATATTCAAGAAGTAAGATTGAAGACAGAATAGATTCTAATGATAGAATATTGCGCGAACAAAAATAAACTCGCGCTCCATATTTTTTAAAGGGCCGCAATTAAATGACCTTAAAAAGCCCAGAAAAAAATTGAAAATACTAAAAGATTGTTCGAATAAAATTACAACCTGAAAATTACAACTTGAAATCAGAAAAATTTGCAAAAAAAATGGATAAATTATGTTAAAAGATTATTAACTATTATTATAGCCAATTAATACGTTAAATCTTTCAATAAATTACAATCAACTAACACGTTAAATCCTTCAATATAAATTGAGATTGAAAGGAAATTAATTCTGAGGAAATGAGTAAATAGAAATTCCGTAATGCCATAAATAAAAGTTCATAGTTATCTGCATGCAACATAATTGTGCAACAAAATCTTAAATTGTAAGTAATTTTTCATTTGCATCACAGAATGCATCACCGGACGTAGTAAAAGTTTTGGCTGCGAATAAATGCGACGCGACCGCGCATCGCGCCGTAGACGCCGAAAGAGGTCAAAAGATTGCCGAAAATTTTGATATGCCCTTCTTCGAGGTATCGTGCAAGGAGAACATCAACATCGAAGAGGCTTTTCTTACTCTAGCTAGAAGAATACGGGAACAACGAGGACGTCGGGTAAGACTGTTCGCGTTAATAACTTATTCTTTTGCATGTTCAGAGAAAAACAGTGTTAGCAGCTAGTGAGTTAGCACATAGTGGCAGAACATAAATCATAATAAGATCAAGATGACATTAAGTAGAAGTCATTTTAGGAAAACCTTTTAATAATTTTTAACTTTATAAAATATTTTCAATAAGTTATTTTTAATATTTTTAATATTTTATTTAATAACATTGAATTTTTAAAAATCTTAAAAATCATGTCAAGAATTAATTAAAGTTATTGTCAAAAGTAGATTGAATTATTATAATTTTTTTAAGAATAATTTTTACTTGATGTCATTTTGCTTGATAATCTTATTATAATTTTGTGTTCTACCTAGAATATAGATGCACAGAAAAAAATCTTAATAGCATTAGTTAATAGCTAATTGAAAAAAATCCAAATGAAATGTTTATTCAATAACATTATTAATGAAATAATATTTAATATTAAATAGTATTTTAAAATAAGAATGGTGTTTGTTTTATTAATATTATCACTGAAAATTAATAAGATTATTTTGAATTAGAGTGTTGGTTAATGTTCTCAATACATTTTTTTTATTAAAATTCCTTTTATAATAGAAGGAATTTCAATGAGACGCTTTTCTCTGCTCTTATCTTTTAACGGCAAACTTAACGGACCTGAGCTACATATCTCATGAACAATTACTGTTGCAGGCAAGCCTGTTCGAAGCTTCCGAGAGAGAAGGCGCGGACAGTATAATTAAGGCTCAGTCACCATCTCAACAAGGTGATGCTTGGAGATGCAGCTGTTAGTTCGGTGGATGATCCGAGGTCTATTCGGCCGGTTGGAAATTTCGACAGCTAGCCAAGAGTTAAATCTACAAAGGATTTCGTCTGTTCATCGTGTATGAGGGGTCAAATATCGCTCGTTTCTATATCTGTACATACGCAACACGGTCATGAGTCGGTTGTCGAATGGAAATCGACCTGGACGACGCAAGAAGTGTTCGTATATCCGGCGAAGGTGGCCTGAGCAAGTATTTACGATACCACCATACCATCTGCAATAATCGCAACGGATATTATAGGTATTATGTATGCACCCTATTACGTGCGAGAGCTCGAATAACGACGACATAGCTTATTAAGTAATGCAGCGATGGTAACGCGTAACAAATATAATCTACCGCGATCCTGCATTGTCGTTACCTTGGTCGTGTCACAATTATGTTAAACACCGTAGGAAACATTTGTTGCCAGTGCGAGGCAAACTCTCAGAATAATCCGAAGACACACGTACGCGCACATTACATTCGGTTAAGCCCAAGCTACATTCGAGACTATCACAAAGTTTGTCTATGATAAGCGATTACACGTCGTAGATGTCTATTTATAGTGATACGAGTTACATTCGTGCGAATGTAGAGACTCGACAAAACTCTTGCTATAAGATAGGTAATCGAATGTCTGAAAGCATCATCGAGAGACGTGACAATTGATCTGATTAATCATAAGTTTCATACAAAAAGGACGATTTTAAAGTATTTAAAAATTTAGTTAAAGATAGATCTGAAAAAAATTTTATGTTGACTATCAAAATAATTACTAAAACTCTTAAGTATGACAAGAAATGCTACAAAAAGTTTTGACAATCTAGCAACTAATTTGAATATAATTATTTTAGTGAACCAACAAAATTATTTTCGGATATGTATCTAGCCAAATTTTTAGATATTATAGCAAAAATTGTCTTTTGCATCGATTAACTCTTCCAAGTAAATCGATGCTTTTTGTTCCGCGCGGGTTTAACATAAATCCACACGGACAAAATGGTTTTGTGTAAAAATTTAGCTGGATACAGATCTGAAAATAGTTTTATTGAATTAATAAAATATAATTATGTAAGACATTCAAGCTAGTTGTTGTAAAAACTTTTTGTAGCATTACTGATCATGTTTGTTTCCGATATAATTATTTTGATGGCTCAAAACAAAATTACATTCAGATTTGTATTTATCTAAATTTAACTACTTTATCAAAAAATCGTTTTTTCCGTGAATAAATATTTAATAATTCAGGGAGAGAAAAGACTATAGCTGAGAGTTATGAGACAGAGATTAGACAAGATTTCTCGAATGACTCGAATTTGAAAGGCTCGCGAGACGTGTATTTGTCTACAAATAATTTTTGGAAAATCTTGCCAATGTTAGACTTTCGCGGATAGACGGATTCATTGGATATCGTAAACAATTTAAGAAGGTTCAATTAGATTCGCTTGGTAAGGCCTAATTAAAAGGAAACATCTTGATGCTATTAAGGCGACACACTTTCACAGTAATCGACGTATTACTATTTTAGTATATCTATGCAAGGAAGACATCATCAAGCGCATTGTGATTACCGTCTAAAAACGATATTATTATATAAGATTTGCGATTACTACCGATGTCTCTCAACAAGGACCAGGGTTCTTCCCTTAAGGAAGAGTTTGCGCGATTACGTCGGGATCATTTGATGCACAGATGCCAAAATTTGCGAAAATACAACTCTTTGATGTTGGGTATTCGAACCAATATTACACAAATTAATTATTATAGAAAAATAGAGTTTGTTTTCAATATCGAGATATGAATGATTTTTTAATAAACGTTATTTCTTCAAAATTAAAGGAATTCGCCAAGTTAAACGCAGACAAAAAAAATTCTGTGTCAAATCAATTTTAACGTTATAAAACTATTTCACGCTGGAAATAGTAAACTTAAATGAAAGAAACGACTATTAAAGGAATATTCAAGGAAACATCTCGAGTATTTCAAAAAATTTTGTTTAACCAAATACATATATCAAAGAAACCGAGATTTATCGCATTATTGCACGCGAAGCTTTCTTTAAAAGAGATAACACTATGGACTGTTTTCACATTGGTGTCAAATAAAATTTTCCTTTTGCCTTGAGAAAATGGTGTATCGTAAAACTAGCGAAAGCTACTTATTCGAGAAAGGACTGCTGATATGTGTTCATGTGTTCATAATAAAAAATAATGTTCTCAGTCTGAAGTAAAGTTTCGAAACGAGGCCGAATCGATACTAGTGAGCACTTGACATCTGTATATCAAACCTTTCATATCGATGCACACACACGTGATAATCCACGCTTAATTAATGCGCTTTGATAATCGTGATGAAACATTTTCGGTGATTCGCATTATATTCGACGAACGACGATTTACGATAAGGCAATACATTCTATTACAGAATGTCTGGCACCAATCTTATTTCGCATAATAATAGAGCACTTAATAAGTCATACGAAAAAAGAGGGACAGTAGCGTCCTTGCATTTTTCGCCATATTTGCGATCGAAAGAAAATAAAAGGGCCACAAGAGATTATGTTAGCTGCCATGTAACCACTACAATACGCACATTTTTATGCGTAACGTAAATCTTTCGACTAATCTTAAATACGGATTAATCTTTAATTTTTTAACTGTGAGAGAGCTTTCGTAAACATATATAAAATCAAGTTTCTTGGATTTTATTTAAACACTTTTCGTTTGGTATGTTTATTTGCAGAGCAAATTTATTTATTGCATCATAATAAGTGGGATTGGAAAATAAATCGGAGAATTTGCATAAAATATAATTATTGAGAATATGCAGGGTAGACCAAAATTTGAAAATATTTTTAAAAAGTTGACGTTTTCGGATTACTTCTCCAAATATCCATAGCAATGTTTTGGAATCCAATAACTATTATTGGATTTGAAAAGTTATTGTTATTGTTAACAAAACACATTGATATTTGAGTTCCAAAAACGTCAATTAAAAAAGAAAGTGTTTTCAAACTTTTGTTCTATGAATATATAGTAACATATAAATGTTTCAACAATAAAAAAAACATTTATTATAAAGATTTGTTCTTTAAAGTTTGATTAAATCTCCAATTCTATTCACGAGTTATTTTCGCAGTACAAAAAATATTTTTTGGAAAATTATTTTATAATAATTAATTATATTGTTTGGAAAATTACTCGTATCTATTATATCGAAAATCACATCACAATCAAGTAAACATAAAATCGTTGTTGGCCTTTCGATAAAATCACCTTCATCGTTCGTACCTTCTCGTTTGCGCTGGCAGAAACGTAAAAGCCTTTATTGTGCCTATCAGTGATTATATAAAAAAGAAAATAAAGACGAAAAGAAAATAGATAAGAAATACGTTGCACGAGATATCGTAACAGATCGCTTTATGATCGATCAGAAGAAAACTATGGGATGGTAACGTGATGATGGTAGATGTTTGATTAAAGCTACAATTAAAATTTTGCTTTATTAATCTCTCTGAGGATATTGCATCTTCTGGGATTATATGCGAAAGAGAATCGATAGTTACTTGCGATATATTATTGTTTTCTTATTCATAAGTATATATCTTAAAAATCGAGTCTCTCGTCTTCTGGTGAATTGCGATTTTCATCGCTGCGATTTCTGATTTATATACACAACAATCACAATTCTACTTCAGGCTGCATTCATACGTGCACTTCGTACTGCATCACGAATGGCAATTTTGTAAGTCTTGCGATCATCTTCTGGCAATGTACGATATCGAGGGCGCTCGGGAATTTTTGAGGAAACTCAGTTCGCGCTTTTTCACATGCTTGTATATGCGATTCCAGGCTACATCGCGACACAATCAAGTCACAAAGAGCGCATGCACTCTTCAGACAGAAGCACACTATATCCGTCACGATCGATCGACATGTAGTGATGATACTTACGAAATGAGATCACTTCGCGAATCGCGCACATTAACGGAATGGCGATCGCTACTGTATTATTTGTTTTTTTTAATCGCAATCCTAAACGTAATAGTGTGTTTTACGGCATAGGCCTTGTGCAAGACGATATTATATATATATATATATATATATATATATATATATATACACACGATAATGACGGTACATATTTGTTGCTTTTATATATTTATAAATCGCGTCGTATATGTGTATAAAGAGCATTATAAAGAAATTCGATTATTTTGCCTGCTAAACCTACATGTGCCCTTTAATTAGCAATCAGGATTTCCCAAACTTGAAATGCGAACATGGGTTGAACTTTTTTGATGTATATTTTTTCAAGATCTAGTAGCATATTAAAACAATGAAATTAAAGTATTTTCGTTCGTTTAAACAAGCTTTCATTTCAATTGTTTTTAAATGACTAAAGTCGAAATTATCCCTAAATTAATGTATCAAAAAAGTTTAACGGCTTTCTTGTAATCATAAAAATTTGAATGAAACAAATGTTTATATTCGAGGGTTATATATATGCTCAAAAGTTTGGGAAATCTTGGATTAACGGAGATTAGATGCGATTAGAAAAATCATGTACTCTATTTTCGTCAACTCTTCTTTAAATGCGCGCGTGATTTGTCAAGACCATCGTTAATTTTTATTCCGCGGATTGTTTGTAACGAGGACAGCATCTATAGAACTTTATATTAGTGATTAGCCTCTCCTGAAAAATAAATTTTTCTAATTGAGGAAAAATTGCGCGGAGATAGGCAAGAGAAATGGAAACTTTTTGCGTAAATTTGTTATAAATTATTATAACGGCAACGTGAAATGTAGATTTTATTTGAAGAGATGCTTGTTTCTCGCGAGAAAATGTGGAGAAAATAATTTAAAAAGAGAGAACAAGTAAAAAAAAAATTTGTAAGAATGGCGTCGCCCATACATAGACAGTAGAATTGCTTGTACGAATTTCTTTTGAGGGACGCTGGATCGTTGCCTTCATCGAAATATTCGATCCGAAGCTGGTCTTTGGTTAAAGAGAAGGGCTCTCTCTCCGAAGAAAATTATTTTACCTGACTTAGTTGAGCCTGTCACTTATATACGCGCGCGTGCAGCGCCGTAACTAGCGTTTCTTTTACATATCGCGAATCCAACGGCGTTTTATCAATCGTTCCGCATCACACATAATCTTATCCTTGAGATTTCACTAAAAATATGCATGACGGAATATTGGAATAACGTTCGCGTCGAAATCCTTTCACCTTGTATTCGCATAGATCTACGTATTCCTAGATCTGCAGATTTCTGACTTTGTAAAATGTCTATAAATTTATAGAATTTAATTCTACAATTTTGTTTAAATTCTAGAAAAGATTACACAAAAAAAATCAAACATCTTTAATTTTGTATTCTAGTTACGGCTTTGCAAATTCATAGCTCTCGATTTTCAACGACTTTTAAGATTTTCAACGATACGATGAAAGTTTTACGATAGATATCAGCTGTGTTTTTATGATGAATATTGTTAAGATATATGATAAAAATGAGATAAAATTGCTGATCGGGCGAATAGTTTCGGCTGGCAATTTTCTTCAGTTGCCAGATCAAACTGATGTTGTTCGCTAACATTTGTTTAAAACATCCCGTATTAATGCTCGAAATTAATTAAAAGTTCGAATCTGGTTCGCGCGACACAATTACCTTTCTCATATTTTGTAAAGTAAGAAGATTTTGCCCAATCATCGAGGAAATAAATGCGGAGATGTTAAATATATGATATAACGATAGCTTTTACAACGTTTCATTTGTTATTTATCGCCACACTCTGAAGAATGGTCATCGTGTTATTACATAGTTTAATTATATTCTCGCGATCGATTATCTAAATGTATAAGTGTATAAGAGAAGTTTTTAAGTTTGTAGAGAAACAACTTGTTTAACTCGATGTCTGAATTAATAATAAATAAAAATACACACTTTTTACCTATGACACACGCTTTCTTTTTATTGGAACAATAAATCTACCGTAATAATTTAATATACTGAGAAAAACATAGTTATGGTAGCTATAAAGGTGACAATTATACAAATTTTACATTTAAAAAATAGTAATATAAAATAGTAGTGTAAAAATAGTAATGTTTTACAGTTATTGCAACCATAAGTAATAAATACAGATTAAAAATTTGGTTTTTTTATCCTTCGATCTCTTGTTAATATTTCACATTCAGAAAAATATATAGTAATATTTTATATTTGTGCAAGTATAAAACAGTTTATTCATCTATGTATACATTAATTCTACATACAAAACATATAAAACTACATATATAAAAATACTAACTTCTACATAATAAACATATAAAATTTAGTTTATTATTTATTGTTGGTGCATGTGTCAATACGTGTATGTGTGGACTTGTTTACTTTAATAAATAAATAAATAACCATAGAACTTGTGTAGTTGTCACTTTTATAATTGTCACTTATAATTGTCATCACTGTGTCTTTTTTCTGAGTACAAAATATTAATAAAAAGGAAAGAAAGGAAACCAAATTGTTTGTAAATTAGTTTACTATTTAAAAGCACAAAAGAAACAAACGGGACAAAAGAAATAAGTGGGATGAAACAATCCAGACAAAAGAAACAAGCGGATTACTCATACTTGACAAAAGTAAGGTGGAAAGTGAGACTTCCTTGTAACGCAACGGTTCTTTAAATGCGTGACCCGGAGTAGTTAAATGAATCGCTTTAACTTACGACACACGCACATATCCGGAGGATACCTCCGGCATTCACCGCGCGTCGCCAATACGTGATGGTCTTCGACGATAAGCGATTATCGGAGTGAATCAGCGCATTGAAAACGGAGAACGACACGGCACCATTTTCCAGCTGATCGCCCGCGCTGAATCGCACGCATCAGGAAGCGACGGAGAAGTGCAGAATCTCCGTTGACAGGTAGGTAGGTAGGTACACGCGCACATTGCGCAGCGTCTTCTCTTCACCTGGAAAACGCGCTCGAGCTCGTCAGCGTGAGTTAATCGACGGAGATTTAACGGATTGTCACGTTCGCAAATTGCGTGATTCTGTCCACGATACGCAGCACGTAAGCCGACAGTCGCGTGTCATGTCAATCGCCGTTCAAGATTACAATTGTGCTGTACGTGACAGTGAAAATTAAACGAGAGACCATCTCAATAAGTAAAAGTCAGATACTTTATCAAAGAATCCCTTTTTTCCATATTGTAGGTACTCCAGAGCTTTTTAATTTACTATGCTATAATTTTCACTGTATTTCATTTCATTTTACTTTAGCTCGATTTTACTTTTATAGTTGTACAATTTTCTCTTGCATCGTCTTTACTCATTGTTTGTCATAACTAGTTTTCTCTTAATTTCAATGTATTTTATGTACTTGCATCGTTACATTTGTAATATCAAATTATATTTCATTTGAGTTATTTTTAATAATTTCTATAGATCGTCACTGTTCCTATGCCGTTAATTAACTAATATAATAGAATCACAATTTAAACAATTTGACTGAAGAAAATATATTAAATTGGACTCAAATTTAGTTTATTATTTATTGTTGGTGCATGTATCAATATGTGTGTGTGTGTGTGTGTGTGTGTGGACATTGTTTACTTTAATAAATAACCATAGAAATGGATTGATTTACATTTTGACGTACATGGAAATTACAAATAACAAAACATTATTTAATACAAAGGATTGAATTACCATTATTTTCTTTAATAACTAACAATGTAGTTTGTATTTTGTTTTAGAATTTTTAACAAATTTTTTATCTATCTTTTTTTATCTATCTATATGTAAGGAAAAAAAATTTTTTTCTTAAGTAAACATGTATTGTTTTCGGTCAATTTTCCTGATTAGACATTTAAAAATATTCCTTTAGAAAGCATGTCTCTCAAATATATGAATTTGTGAATCTATTTTAATTATGCTAAAATAATGCAAAATAGCGGTTATGCACAAACTACAATCGCCACACGATGCATCCTGAGGCATGTGCGCGTCATAACTCACATTACATCAAGTGACGCGCGTTCATTCAAACAAGCGCGTTGCGTCGAGAGATGAATCACGGAATCACGCAGGCAGATGAGCGGAGGCGCATCTCGTACGAGTGCCCAGAGTCGGAAGAACTTCGCCATGTTCCTTCGCGTTCAAATGTGTCGGAATCATAGTTGCAGGCGATCAAATGTTTTTTTCTTATTACATGAAAATATTTTCTTGAATTTCTAGCTGTAACAAATTTCGATTCGATGCCGAGTTATTGTTAGATTTCAAGATTAAAAAGCAAACGTCTTCGAATTAAAAAAAATTGAGCTATACGTAAGCACTGCAACACGCGTCGCTTGTCCCGCCTTTCGATTGAGTATGGCGGTGGATAGCAAGATGGCATGTCCGGAGTTGACGGCCTTTGGAGTAGGTAGCATGCGCACCGTATCGCCCAGAGATCGGAGCTGTCGAGCCGTGGACTCCGGAGCGTAAGATGGCCGCGGTGACAGATACGAGGAGCTGTCAACTCCGCCCGGGATCCTAAAGCCTAAAATTCTGTGTCACGCGGCTGGCCATTTTCGCTCCGCACGTAGCGTAAATCGGCCGCGTTTGCGTTGCATCACGTCGCATCGGACCGCATTGCAATGCGCGTGTACGCGAGTTTACTCGAGATCGTCAGTCAAACAGAAACGCATCCAGGCAATCCGAAAACGCACGTCACTTCGTAACCCGTACGTATAACGTGCGTTAAAACACTTTGCATCCGCGCGTGCGACCCGATTTATCTTTCGCAAATTCTCGACCGCGCGTCAGTCGATCGTACCGTAGGCGTGTCGGCGCGGAGATAATCAAACCAGTTCGAGTCGATCGAACTCCGCCGCCTCGTTGCATTGTAAAAGTGCTTTTTCGCAGGGATAACTCTCGTCAACATTGAGACTGTTCTTAGTCATGGAGGCGATCGTAGAATACAATTATGTGGCGCAAGAGGATGATGAGTTGACACTAAAAAAGGGTGATATCATCACTGGGATCAAGATGATGCTTGGAGGATGGTGGGAGGGCACCCTAAGGGACAAGCGTGGCATGTTTCCTGATAACTTTGTTAAGGTATTACGCATCATTCCTTGTGATTTATCATTTATATATATTCATAGAATTCCAGTAAACACTAATTAACTTAACGTAACATCAATGTTATTATTTCTTATTCAACAATATAAGTTGTAATTGTTATATACAATGTTTGGTATATTACATTTATATTGTTGAGTGGGAAATTATATTATTGATGTAATGTTACTGTTAATATTTACTAGATTCTGGAAATGTCTAACATGCAGGTATTGGATCCCTCGGCCACTAGTGGAAGTAATGGCAGCGAGACTATAAGCAGCACAAAATCTGATGAGAGTATAATCTTGAGAAATGGATCTGGTAGACGTTTCTGCAAGGTTCTTTTCAGTTACGATCCTTGTAACGAGGATGAGCTAACTTTAGTGCCACAAGACTCCATAGAATTTTTGGGAGAAGTAGAGGAAGGATGGTGGAGAGGACGCCTCAGAGGTAGAGTCGGCGTATTTCCCTCAAACTTTGTTTCTCCCCCTGCTCCTGAAGAGCAAGAGAGGCATAAGGAACGAGATAAAAAGGAAATGTGCAGAGTACTCTTTCCTTATGAGGCTGCTAATGAGGACGAACTCACTCTGGTCGAAGGAGATACAATTATCATTTTATCTAAGGACGCGCCAGACAAGGTTTATAATTTATCTATAAATTATAATTAGACATACATTCACAAGTGCATTATATTCTATAGAATCAAAATAGAGATCTGATTAATATTAATAAATTCGAACAACACAATGTTCAAAATTGAGATATAAGAAATCTTTAAGATGTCTTATATATCTACTTTAACTTTGTGTTGTCTGGAAATTAGCAAACTAGATAATGACTGTAAATACATAATCAATATATATTATATATGTATAATTTATATAGGGTTGGTGGAAAGGAGAACTGAATGGACAAGTAGGTTTGTTCCCTGACAATTTTGTTGAGGTGATTGGTACAAAGAATGAATCCCAGGAACAAGAATCCCAGTGGCATGAAACGACATCGCTGAGTGCAAAATCAAGTATTAGACATTCCCATCAAGTGAAAAAGGTCGAAAAGGCGCACATCAGAAAAAGTTTGGACATTAGGAACATACATTCAAGTAATATATCAGGTGAGATACCAACTATTTCGTATTGAAGTGATATTCCTATTTTGCATGAATATAATTCTTGAGATGTAATTCCGTATTTTGTCAGATCATTTCCCCACTATAGACACCGCTAAAAAGGGCCTATCTACATTGTCATCTACCTTAACGTCATCATCATCATTGACAGCTACCGGAAGCGGAAGCGGCGATAAGAAAGCGGCTGGTAGCCATTCGATTATATCGAGTCTGAAGCGACTTGTGAGCGACGTAGGGAATAATAACGGTATCAGCAACACAACGAGTACTGCTTCGGAGTGTCGCGAGGAATTGGACGGCGTGGAACGAGGGGAGGGTACTCCGCTTGCGCATTTAACAGCTTCTCGCGCTAAAGCGCCTCGGCGACGTCCACCTTCGTCGCAGCATTTACGCCATCACGCTGCTGGAGCCAGTATAAGCGCATCTTCGACGCTGCCAACTGTTTCCAGTACCATTATGGTATAATAATGATTTTAAAAAATAATCATTGTTTATTAATTATTAGTATTTATTATTTATTAACTTTTAAATAATAAATCTGATTAATTTTAATATCTTCTATAACTTATAGGAAGATAATATGTCTAATGGACGCACCGATTCCACATTGGAACAAATACCCGACGAAGAAACGGATGGGCTTGCAGCAAAAGTGAGAAGAAAAGCACCATGGGTAATGTACCACTTTTAGAGATCAAATAAAAAGTATAAATAAAAAATTTAAAGATACATAAAGAAAAAAAAAATAAAAACATATAAAAATCTATTATAAAAGTTTACATACAAATATTATTAAGTACCAAGATTCGATTTGAGTGATTTGATTAATTATATTTTCTCTTATTATTTGTTATTCATTTATTTATTTTCAATTCACAGTTCCACTCCTTAAAATAAAAGAATGTAAGATATCGCGTTTATTAATCTTATCATAATCAATGTCATTGTCTCTTGCAGGTCGAAGAATTAAAAATGAATCAGATGGAGAGGAGAAAAATTGCCACGGTAGAAAGAATTGATAAGGTGGAAGTTAAGAAGGAACGAAATTTCCCGCGGTAAATTTTGACTTGTTAATGATTTTCTAAATCCATCATGTGTTTCGCAAATATAATGTATATTGTTTTATCGTTTATTAGATTAATGACACAAGGAAATGCTGTGGATTTCGTTAACAAATCGGACACCGATAACGAAGATAACAAACAGAAAGATAAAAGTCCGAGAGCCGAAACAAGCCCCCATGCCGATTACAGTCCTAGTGCATCTGGTCAGCCGGCCTACGTTCCATATGCCCTCTACTACAAATTATTGGAAAGGGTAAATATTCAAATAATTCATACATTATGTATTAAATTTTCATTTTAGTAACGTTGCATGCACGTGGACACGCGATATTAATTTAAATTGCTTTAACAAGGTCACCGTGTTAGAAGAGAAACAAGCGGTACTGCAGGCAACAATAGGACAGCTCTCCGAACAGCTTGTACCTCTTCTCGCGAACGCATCGATTAACAGTAAATAATACGGTGTTAAGAGAAGAAAATCAATAGTGTATTCATCTGCCCGTACTGTATTGGTTTCTCATTACGTCAGTAATGAAGAAAGAAACTAATACTGCTGCTAACGTTTATTGCTATTACTGTTGTTATATATATACACAGACATATTTATTCATTTGATAGTATTCGTTTATTGTTTGCTCCGTTGATGCAGTATTCACGTGATCCGGTTAAAAACGTAACATTCCATACGACATTCTACGCTTAAAAGCATTTCTCCTTCATTTGGTTTTTCCGATAATTAATTTAAGATCTCATTCTAACTGCCGGAGTTTTATTATTCTTTTGATAATAGTAACCGATTTATATGAATGCCTGGACATTCGAACGGCTTAAACTCTACAATTTTTATTTAAAATTTACGACACATATCATAATTACAAAACGCAAATCTTCAATGTATATTTGCACATATTACCTTGTTACGACAAAACTTTCCCGTTGTCAGTAGCACGAAAAACCTTGCGACGCGACGTAAAGTTCCAAAAAAAGAAAGAAAGAAAGAAAAGAAAAAATAGCGCAAGTGTCCTTCCAGATGGGTGCCTGTGCTTTTCTTGTATTAATTTGTATTTTATTCATTGTTTTATGTTACTTATTTACGTATATATTTTTAATAGAATTTAACGAAGGATTGTGCTAATTATTTTAAGGAAACTGCCTGGTTTAAAGTGCCAAAAAAATAACATGTTCTTTTTACAAAAACGGTTATTGCTATTATACAAAATATTTATGCATATAAATTTTTTATTTGCACAATTTTGTACTCACACTTCAAAAAATATTTATAAATTTTTATATTAAAAAATAATATGATTTAATCAGAAAACTGCAGGAACAGACATATCTATATCTGATCTTATCAAATTGTTGACACTGCAGAGCCGAAACAAGGCATTTTAATAAAAAAAAATCAATGCATATACTAAAAAAATCAATGCATATACTAAATTACCTATAATACCTATTAAAATTTAAAAAATCGCGAATTAATAAAATTGTGCTATTTAAAAAGAAATTTATTTTGTTCAATTAAATTATCGAAAAAATATTTCTCGAAAATTTATTATTTTATTAAATTAGATTTAGTATAGAAAAAAATAGATACAGTTTATACGGTCAAAAGCTTAAGTTATTACATTGCCTTCTTTACATTGTTAGCAAAACTAAAAAATCTCGTTTAAAAAAAAATACATATTAGAACATATCTGTTTTTTTTTGTATTTACAGTATGTTTTTTCAATCGATGATTTTTGGATTATATAAAAAAAGCTCATTCTATTCATAGAAATCATCAAACTGATCTGACTTGTCCATTCAATCGTCAAAATCTTATCTTAGAACTGAATGCTCAAAAAATCGCTTAAATTATTGTAACTCTGAGATTTTTCAAGGAATTGCATTCAAAATTTCAGAAAATATTCTTGAATAATTGTTATTTAAAAATGAATTAAACAAATTAATTTTTTGACTCTCCAAACCAGGTGGTCCTCTTAATTTTATTATCGTAAGCGATAATAAAATTAAGTATAATGCAACAAGGATAGTAAAGTACTTAAATTCGTAGTTCGATAGAGTGTAAGAATTATGTGATTCTTTTTTATTCAACGAACGCAGCTGCCTCGCGATAATGTGTGATGATTTGCTGTAGATTTTTTCAGTAATCTGAGTGCCAATGTAAAGCATTTTGTTTATTGCATTTCCCAGATGCCTCATTCAACGATAGTGATAAGAGATCCTCGTTGATTTTTCACGAGTAATATCACCAAACTACGGACAAATACGACTCGTACAAGTCTAATTCGACATGTTCGTCGAGCCATTTATTTTCACCCGCTTGTCAAAGTATACTCCGCTGATCGCTCCAAAGTGGAAATATCTTTGAAACGGTGCTAATATAACGCGATATGTGATATATCGTAGCGGCACGTGGTTATACTATACATATAGAAATGAGGCACAGCGAGAGAGAACATTTATGAGACATTTATGAACATTTATTCTGTTCTGTCTTAAATGAAAGTATCATGACAGGACTATATATATAACTAAGGATGTAGGCCGCTTTAAAAGACAAATTAGCAGCTTTATTCGATGCAATCGCAAATCGTATTGAATAACAAAAGTTTTTATTTTTTTATAAAAATGGAATTTTAAGTAAGTATGGTAAAGGAGAAGATTATAGATATATGAGAGGAAATAGATATACGAGGTGGTATTTAGTTTTTTATATATCAGTATTTCATAAAATATATTTAACATTTTAACGAACAATAGTGGATTGAAAGCTACTTCCTCGAATCAGATTGACATAAAAGAGACTTTATTTTTATGCAGAATATATATACACATATATGTATATATATATATTTTATTCTCTCTCGTCTCCATTAATTTTTAGCAACCATAGTTTCATACTACGAAATTTGGCAGATTTAGAAAGCAGTATAATTATTATGTTTACTTGATTGATGCTCGAATGTGTATATGTTAATCGAATTATCAATATATTGCACAATATTTAAGGTTTGTGCATAAAAACGAAATATATTTTGGGGCGGCTCAATCACTTAATAATAGCGAGTTTTTGCAGTAATGTGAATCCAGATACGATGAACGCTAAAATTACGGTTACCTTTTTCTTAATTAGTTGTTAAGAAAAAGATAACTTGACCTTAACGTTTATCGTATCTGAATAAACGGTATTGCAAAAACTCTTTAATGTCTCGCAAATTGTTTTAACTGTATACCTTCATAACTCTAACAAATTTTACAAGGAAAAAGTTTATATTTGCGTTACATTTATGTGGAATGCCTTTCTTTAAATTAATTCCACTGATAACGGTATATATTATATAATTGTTATTGATTTCCTGCACAGAGAAAAAGTTCGATGCAGTAAAAAGAAAGATTTTAAATATAAGTTTTTATTTCACGTGTAATCCGTCCCGATTAGAAAGATGTCGATATACAATTCATACGTTGGCTTTATCATCTAGATTATATTATTTGAATATAATGCGTTTGCGTAATTAAAAAAATTTATGTATTAAATAATTGTTTATACATAATTTTTTCCTCCTTTTCTGAGAAAAGGTATTACTTTGATACGAATCGATATTATTCATTATAAAGCGTACTTTTATCGACATATGCTATTTCGAAAATTTATCGCAAGGCATCCCAAGAATAGACGAAGTTAATAGTAGATGATATGAAATGTGTAATAGCTTTTACCGAAAGAGATATCTCTTTATAGTTGTAGAGTATCATAGAAAATTTTGAAAAGAGTTTCTTTTTATAATTTCGTACGTTGTGTTAATTTGTATAATATATATGTAACACGTTCATTTTAATACGAACTCAAAGGCAACTGTCTTAATCAATGTCTAACACTGATCATGCTTACAAAAGAAAGTTCAAAACAAACGAGACCACGTTCAGATTCGTCGCTGTAATCACATCTTTTTATACTTTTATATTTCGCTACAGATCAGGTCATTTGAACGCGACAATTTTTACGTACGTATATGTTCACTTATATCGAACTTCGGTTTACACCATTATGCATCATCTTGCAAGTGTAATGCGTGACAATAATAGTTTTTAAGCAAGTTCGGAAGAATTTTGCTATCTTTTTTCTATAATTATAATTTTTAGTAAAATCACTTTATAATCAAGATACGCGGAGGCTCAATTAAAATATTTGATTGCATTTTATGTCTCTCTCTCTCTCTCTCTCTCTCTCTCTCTCTCTCTCTCTCTCTCTCTCTTTCTCTTTTGAAGACATTTTAGAACAGTTGTCAAGTATCAGTTAGTCATAGTCATATTTCGCACTCTTACAGGTACATCGTCTTCCCTCTCGTAAAGTAATATCTTGCAATCCAATCATTGTAAACATAATCATTCAACACTTCGATCTTAATGTAATCATTTTGAGAAAAAACAATGTAAATGCATTAATTAGATTAGGCCTGTACTTACGAATAAGGCCTTTCCGTTCGCCAGTGAACTTCCAGAATTTGTTTGAGAAACAGATGTTTCTAGAACCATTGAGAAAATGTTAATCTGTAAATAAAATAATGTTGAACATTAATTCTACGCATCGAATGAAAACATGCGAGAAACGATTGTAACGAAATCTTTATTCTAAAGATCGCGTCCCGAATATTATATATCCGAATGCCACAGTGAATCGACAAATTGTAGTCGATCGTGTATTAATCGTGATATAATTATTTCTCACACGCTTTCGATTTATCATTATGTACGGCGCTATGGTGAATAAGTGATGTTGCCCACGAGGTTGTAAGACTAATGTAATAGCAGACTATATTTCCGATTGTTGTTGTTCGACATCGAATCTTATCGAGATCATTTTTATATCACGCTATAACGAGCTGTTCTCGATGAATGTCCTGTCGAAAAGCGTCGGATGAATGCGATAGCGCACAGCTGTCTGGCTGCATAATTGCTAAGTGATATCCCTGTAGAAAGCATGCTCTAGAACATAAGGAGTTAACGATCCAAGAGCGAAACGATTTTTAATGTTATTAACGTAGGCCTATAACGTTAGGCCTATTATGTACATATATATGTATAAGCGCATTGCGATCCGAGTGAGAGTTATATTTTGTCAACGTGTCCAATCGTGCATACGTCGAATTAACAATCGTACCTGTAAATAAAGCCATTAGAGAATAAATCACTCTCTACATACGCAATGCTGGAGTCCTGTAATCCTACATTAAATCTCTATACATATTTAATGTTTGTCTTCATTTTGACCTTATCGCACTCATTGTTAATGCCTATTTCCATCAATTTTAGATTTCAAAGTTTCAGTTTAACTTATTCTTCATTTTTTTCTTTAGTTTTAATTAGAAAAAGATGAAGAGTCAATTAAATCGAGATTAACGTTAATTTATATTGGTAACGGGCATAAGTGAAACCCAAGAAAACCTCATCAAAAAAGAAAAAATATTACAACACGAGCCAGTTAAAATTAATAAAATTAATAAAATTTAATATTTAAATTATATTTGATTCATTTCAATTGAGCCATTCTGTCAAAAAATATTATATCATTCTGGTTTCTCGAGTTTGTTTTTATTATATGTATAATTGCTTCTCACGAAATACATTTGATTATGTATTTAATCGTATCATGCATGATGACGTATCATGTATGATTTTCATAACGCCGTTTCGAAGTTTCTCGAGACAACGGTGAGATTTCACAAATAAATGGCAGCAATGCGTGACACGGCATCACTTTCCAGAAGGGCGACAGACTTTTAGCAGACGGATTTGTGAGAGCAACACAACCCTTCGAGTGTGACGGCTGTCCTTCGCCCCACGCTCGATAATCGAAGCAAGATAAGGATTCACCTATCAAAAATCATGCATTTTTTAAATTTTATAAATGTTTGGCATTTGAATTGAAAGATTTTATCTTGTTGCAAATAAGAAATGTAAACTATGGCAGCAAATTACCGAATTCGTTCTTCCAAATTCTCTCATTCCTTTCGCTGCTGAGACCAACGAATCTGGAAAAATTCTGCGACATTAATTTGCCGAGACCTTCCGTGCGCTCTTCGCTTATCACATGTGCGAGCGATGCGTTTCGTTTCTGACAAAAACTTCGTGCCTCCGTGTAATTCAGTACTTCGGACGAGAATAGAAACATTCCCGCTTTAGGAATGCACTCTATCGTAGCATTCACTAAAAGTAATTTTTATTAACAACGTCAGAAATTTATGTTTCAAAAAATTAATTCAGGCGTCTTGTAAAGTAAATGTCCTAATGACTAAACTCATATGAAGGTATATATTATTTGTTATTATTATTGATTAATAATTAATGACATTATAAAAGGAATATTCACATGAATATCAAATATCATTATGTTAATATCATATAATATGAAACTTTGTTTGGAATTAATATTCGTATAAATATTACATAAATGTCACATCAAATTTGTAATTTGTAATTATACGAGTATATATTTACCAAAAAAAAACAGAAAAAAAATCAAAGTATCTGATGATTTTTTTTTCTAAAATATTGATAACTATTTGTTCAATTAATTTCGATATAGTACGATATATGTGCTAATATACAAATTTCGTGGATATTTATGGATAATGCGAGTAATTGTAATTGCAATTACCGGGCGGAGATAAAACGGGATACATGCTGTAATATTTGCAATTTGTCTCGGGCACGAGGGTCATCATATTCTGATCTTCGGGACATTGAAGAGCTTGACATGAATTTTCTTGTCCACCTGCGCGTTGATAAAGAAATATCGTAAAAACATATAGAAAAATTACACGAAAGTAAGTGTAGTATGCTGGATTAATCATGATAATTGAATTGACTAATAATTACATCGCATTTTATAACACGGTTGCACTTGTAATTCGCGTTATGTTTCGCCATAATTAGAAAGTTTGTCAAAATTATCATAATTACATGTTGTAATTACGTTTAATTGCTTGCCATTCGCATACCAGTGCGGTTTCTCGCGGAAACAAAATTGAAGGCGAGAGCTTTCTTCGATGCGACGAATTTCTTACACTCGTTCACGTGGGAAACCACTCTTCGTGATATGATCGGTTGCCTCGAGCGCAAATTGGTCTTTATTAGATTGTATTGCGGTAATTCGTGGCGATTGATTAAACAGCAGCGATCGCAGATGGCTAAATACGCTACATACATAAACATTAAGAACAACAGCAATTGTAAGTTAAAGTTTGCCATTTTGTAAATATGTTGTCTTAAAATTTTAAGAGATACGATTATTTAGGAGCACTATGGACACACTGCGACTCATATAATGCACATTGCATTTCCTTTCGAATAATAGAGATGCAAATATTACGTACTTCCGACTTCGGAAATACACATCAATCAGACAAGATAATTGTATAATTATGGGAACATTGAAGCCGTACACATAAAAGACAGAAAAACGATATTGCCATGTAATCTCAATGTTTTCTATTTTCTAATTATCTACTTATTCATTAAATTAATATAAAAATGAAAATAGTTTTATGACATCAAGAATAAATCAAATGGAAGTATAAAATGCTTAAGTCTTAAGTGATTGATAGGGATAAATAATATATTTATAAAGCAATAAAGTATAATTCAAATGAAACGTAGAAGATATAATTTAATTGGAACGTAGATACCAATAAAGTTAGAAGTCTGTGAAGTTGGCATCCCTAAATGCGAATTCGCATTCGATCATCCATAATTTGTCCATAAAAAATAATTTTTTGTTAACTTTCCAAAAAATTATAAATAAAAACTTTCTAACAAAATTTTCTAACACCTTTTGTATACATATTTTCTTTTAAATTACATATGAAATTCAATTGTTCACTATGTGTACGCATTTGTCTATTCATAATTTCTTTTGTCCATCTTGCAAAATCAAAATATAAACAAATGAAAAATCAAAAAATTCATCGCTACACTTGTAAGTGCATATAAGTATCTTTAAGGCCCATTTTCATAATATTACTTAAAAATTAAAGGTTTCCAACAGATTCATCAATGAAATTCATTTATGAATTTCTTGGTTATCTTTAAACTTTAGGTAATCATATATTGTGAAATCGGGCCTAAGGATCTCTTTCACCAACCTCGGTTAAGCTAATAAGTTATGAAATTGGGTCTAAATGAGCTCCATATAATCCATCGGTTAGCTTAAGTTGGTAAAAGAGATTCTAAATTATTACAAAAAATTCGATCATTGTTCACGCATGTCCATACATAGTCTTTTGTCATCTTGCAAAACTAAGTTATAAACAAATGAAAAGTTAAAAAATTTGTCATACTTGTAAATACGTTTATCTCTAAATCTCATAGGGGATTCGATTGTCCATGATCGTCCACATTTATTTAATAATTATTTTTCAATTTTATAAAATATATAATAAACAAAAAATCATGCAAATACTGTCACATTATAAATATTTTCAATTTAATTTTTTTAATTATACATGCGTAAGATAAGAGTGTTTACAATATTTTAAAGAAAACTTGATTTTTGTCCAATTTGCAAAAAAAGTACATATACAGGAATCCTTTTTACTGATTACATATAAATAAACATTTTGTATACAGTGTCTCGAAATTCGAGGATTTAATCTCAATATTTTTTATTTTATAAAAAGATGTTTTTAATTTACGTTTAAGAATTTCTATTTAATTAATTTGATCAATTATTATTGTTTAAACAAGGGATTACTTTTATTACTTATAATATAATTTAGAAATAGGACTACTTTTATTTATAACATAAATCAAAGATATTTTTATTAATACGCATTTATATACACCACTCTAATTATCTATAAAAGATATAGCACGCTATAAAAGTAATTTTTACTTTAATATCGATTAAGTCTGAATATCTTCTAATGATTTACTTGTTCAAGTTTTAACAAATAATTAAGTTAAACAATAATTATGTTTAGAAATACTTTTTATTTAATCAGTTTGGCCGATCATTATTGTCTAAAAAAGGAATTAGAAATGGTATAATATTATTTATAATATGTGCTAAAGATATTTTTATTAATATGTATATTATATACACCATTCCAGATATTTATAGAGGCACGGTATACCAAAAAAGTAATCTTTATTTCAAAAATTCATTGATATATCAACAATACAATTTCATGCCATTTATATTCTTTTCTCCTGTATATCCTGCCTTTTGTGCGTTCCGTCGCAGAAAGGTCGGTTCAATGTTTGTTTGCAATTGCACAACCAATAGTTCTTAGTCTCTGTAACAGTAAAACGTATGGGTCTCAGCTTTATCTTAAGAAAAATGTCTTTATGCGTGCCATCGCAGAATGGCTGATTCTTGCTCCGTCCACATAGACACCACGAGTAATTCTTGCCAGCTTTAAGAAGCATTCTGAACGGTTTTTTGTCATATATCACTCCGGTTTCAGTTTGATCATTGGCACTGTATACATCCTTCAGAGGATTCACAGGTATCGGTGGACCGTCGGTTTTATCTGTAGAAAAGCGAGAGACCTAAAAAAGAGAGACCTGAAAAACCATCAAGCTAAAATCAAAGCAAATTTTATTTTATTTCTCTAGAGAAGACGATAATTTCCAATTACGCTGTCGATTTCAACAAAGAGATTTCAATAACAAGATAATTTTACTTATCACTGCTTACTATCATTACAAAAATCTAATTAATACTAGCTAATTGAATAGTGTAAATTTCAATAACAAGATAATTTTACTTATCACTGCTTACTATCATTACAAAAATCTAATTAATACTAGCTAATTGAATAGTGTAATGTAGTAAATAATTATCAGTATTGAAAGCACTACACAACAGTGCTTTTAATACACAAAATAAGTAGTTACTATCTTTCAATATTAAATTTCTATAAAAGTATATCATTTATGAGGAAGAGGTTTTGGAGTTGGACCCATCAATTGGCAAGTATTAAGCCTTCAACATCTTGAAGTTATATGACATAAAGCTCTAGAATTATATTATTACTCTCAGATTATATTTCTTAATTTTTTGCTGAAGTTGTATATAATTCTGACTTTTTCCCATTATTTTGTCTTACTATATCGCATTTAGTATTAATTTAGGTTAGAAAGAGATGAGGTTAGAAACGGACTATAAAGCATAAGTTCATTAATACGTACATTCTTGTGACAAAGAGCACTCAGACGAGAAAATTGCGGGTATCGATTCAATATATTCATTTCGTTGATTCACGTAATCCCATTAAATTAAAAGCAACACTCACATTAATATAAACAGAAAGCAGAAAGATAGCAACTGATAGCAATTACGCTGAGTTCTGTCTTGAGTTTTGAGATGTCATGAACCAATCAGAGGGGACTTAAGATATTCGGTTATTTTCTGTTCTTACAGGGATTGCACTACAATTGAACTGAACTAACTGCAATCCAGAATTGACGAGTGTAATAAAACTACTCGTTCAGTGGCAGCAGCGCTGCACGAGATTGCTATAAGTGCGAGTTTCTTACACGTGTATTCTAAACACGTGTGTCGACCTCAATGCGGTCTTATAGTGTACATTTGTCGCTATATTTGATGACATAAAATATTGCGTAATTCGCATTTTTCATAATATGAAAGGATTTATGAGGAGGATGCACATGTCTGCTATTTTGTAAGCTGTTGTTCTAGAAACGCGAAAATGACTTTTGAATTGTAACAATAACATATAATTACTTGCAGTACTGATATTATACAATATCTTGATAAAAAATTGTTTACGTATGATTATTATATAAACATATAAACGTATATAATTCTATAATACATATGTATATATTATAATACGACATATTTCATATATGTTCATATACGTCCCAGACATCTTCCTTTCTTTTGTAAAATTATTGTTTAGTATCCCAGCAAACGAGAATGGATTGAAATGGATTCAGATTTTCAGAAATATTGATTCATGAATGTTAAAATGAATGCTTTTCAATCCTGAATGTATTTTTATTCATTTATAGGAATTGTATAGAGCATATCTCTATGCTTTTCAATCTAAAAATAATATTAGCTTTTTCTGTGCACAACACACACATTGTGAATAGTGTTCAATTCAAAATTTTGAATAGGAAATGCAGTTTTTCAATCCAATTCAATCCAATTATATCCAATTGAATCTAACTGAATCTAATTGAATAAAATTGAATCCAATTGAATTCAATTAAAAAGTATTCATTATTTAAAATATGCATTAGGATAGAAAAAAATTCAATCTATTTTAATCAATTCTCGTTTGCTGAAATAATGTCTACAAAATGTTAATGTCTCATAATATTAAGGAGACGTCATAAAGATAATTCTGTAAGACGTAATAAGGATGTCTTTAGGACGTTATAAATCGACACATAAAACATTTTAAAGATGTCATTTAGATATCATTCTGATATTTCCAAAAAATGTCTTATGAATTTTAGGATGTCTTTATGATGTCTTATAAGATGTCTCAATTTTCTGGGATGATTTATATTTTTTTTTATTAGTATAAAAATAAAGAAGACAGCCCTCAAGTACAAATGTCTATTAGAGATGTTTTATAATATTGTTTTGTTTGGTCGTGCTTCTTGTGATCGATGAGGATAATGCACAATTCACATGTTATCTAGCAAGAAAAGAAGAAAACAACTTTACCGACTATAATGAAGTTAACTATGAGTGAGTCTAAAGACCTCTTCTGAGTACTAAAGACCCTATTGGATCATCTAAAAAGTATCCGCGGTTTTTTGTCACTAGATGGTATGAACATTAATACCATCTAGTGACAATTTTTTAAATGAATTGTAACAAAACGGTATTGTACATCCAACCATATTTCTAAAATAATTTCGATAATTTTATTTTTATCAATGTATCTTTACGTATCTATGTCGTTTAATGCTGTTGCACCTAACCCTAAAATTGATAGTCTGTTGGATAGATTGAGACCATATATTTCTTTCTTTCTCGCAGAAATTCGCTAAAATATGACGTCATCTCTCATATGGCGCCACTCT